AAATACTACATGCTTGCCTCACAATATTACCGTCGTGTGGGTAAGCACAGCGAATATTATCGTTGTGGCTTGCAATTCTTGGGATGTTCGCTGGACGACTACCCTCGCGATCAATGGGCACAACAAGCTTTCTTTTTGGGACTTGCCGCACTATTGGGCGATGGCGTCTATAACATTGGCGAACTGTTGGCGCATCCCATTTTAGAGTCACTTAAGAATACTGAAAACGAGTGGTTGGTTGAGCTGTTAAAGGCATTCAACATGGGAGACATTAACAAGTGAGTGGTAGAAAAAGATTCAATAATTTAAAAMCTATTAAGMATTTGTTGTCTTCAAATAGATTTAACGACATGAAAAAGATTTGGTCCAAAATCCCTGATTTGGCTGCGCAGGAAGTCAAACTACGCCAAAAGATTTCCCTGCTCTGCCTCATGGAAATGACTTTTAAACGTTCAGCCATCGAGCGTGCAATTTCCTTCGCAGACATCGCTAAAGAAACAAAACTGCCGCCCAAAGAGGTTGAGTTTTTGATCATGAAGGCTCTGGCTCTAGACCTGGTGCGCGGCGAAATCGATCAGGTGGCTGGCGTGGTTAACATGTCATGGGTGCAGCCACGTGTTTTGGATCGCTCACAAATTGTAGGCATGGCCAGTACACTGGACACATGGATGGGTGCGATCACAAATATGGAAAAACTTATGGAGAATCGTGCTGCAGAAATTCTCACAAATTGATAAGTTTCTTTAATTTCCATTTACCTGTATGCTTTTTGTATTAAACCAACATGCTTAATGCAAAACCTAGCAATTGTTTTTACTACAAAGTATAATTAGAGACGGGTCTTTAAATTACATTTCAGCTTTTGTGGAAGTAATACGAAGAATATTCATTTATATTTAATTCAATAGAAATGAAGGAATTTCAATTTATTCATGTAATATTATTGGCTTATTTTAGTGGACACCAATTTGCTCCACATAGCCCATACAAGTTTCTGGATTGAATATAAATAAATTTCGATGTGGAGCTTCCATTTTGGTGACCACCTTAATAATCTCCTGTGCCACAACGCCACCAACGACAGCGACTGCTGGCGATATCTGCGCAAAAAGTAAGCCAAGTGTATCGCTAGACAGTGCAGAGTTCGGCACAAGGTCATCTCGGATTTGCTCCAGCAAAGCAATGTCTGCCAGTCTTGTCTTATAGTTGGGATCACGCTTATATGTGCTGCGAAAGTTTTGTAGAACGCGCAACAGTATAATGCCTGGACCATCACGTTTCAACTTGCGTTGATAGTTGGGAGCATTGATATTGAAGTCGAGCCAATTGGAATACGATGGGTACTCGACTTCGCGTTGCACTGGGGTGGATACCGTTTCATATTTAACCTTCTCATTCGGCTTTGATATCACCTTGTACTTGATAACGTTTCTAGAAAGANATAAAATGGTGTTTTAATTTTACATTTGTTATTTTTCACAAACAAAAATGGAGACAGCCGGCATACCGGCAAACTAACCTCTTTTGGGATTCCAAGCCCCAAAGTCGAATTTGTCTATCGTATAGTTCATTTTCTGCGTCTGTGAGCTCAACGCCAGCCTCTCTAGCATTTTCCCCAACGTCCATTTTCATGTTTATACAAAAATTTGTTGAAATGTTGCGGAGAAATAAACGCCAATGATGCTAGAGAAGCAATAATATCGGAAAACTATCGATGACTTATGTTAAAAATAATCGCTCCCTATCCTACTGTGCTTCGATTTAACTACCATAAGAACCTGCAGTTTGCCATTAATATTGTATCATACCATTTCGCTACATACATACTACATACTTTTTAATTGATATTCCTCGATAAGAGCATATACAATTTTGTTTTATCATTTAAAAATTATTCCGTTCTAAGCCCAGTTTCTCACAATCTAATCTTTAATGATATGTATGTTATGAGTAACTACATAATTCTAAGAAATTACACATAAGATTATAAAAAAGCAAAAGACAAATAAACTAAAAAATATCCAAATGATTTACACACTTTCTAGTTAATTTTGAAATTTCTTATTGATTTCTATTTGTAAAAATTCATATATCGATAGCACATTTGCAATACTGCGCTGCAATATTTATCAACACTGATTAACAACCACATTAACCCACGCAGCAGTWGCAACAACAACAAAATTACGCGATAAACAAAACGAAGCCGATTTCCTAGCAATTAAGCACAATGAGTGTTGTAAGCACAGCACCAGCATCACAAGATGCCTGCTATATATCGCTTCTTGGGCTCGCCGAATACTTTCGTACCTCACAACCGCCAAACATAAAAAAATGCATTCAATGTTTACAGGCGCTCTTCACTTTTCAGCCGCCTTCAAAGGTAAGTGTACCATAAGTGAAAGTMAATAACAAATACAACAAATATCTWAATCAACGGWATTACACTTCTCMTATTCAGGTGGAGGCGCGTACACACCTGCAAATGGGTCAAGTTCTTATGGCTTACACATGCAACATAGATTTGGCGCGTCGACACTTGGAGCAGGCATGGAGTATCGCGGAGCCTCTTATGAATTTTGATGATGTCAAATTCGATACTGCCTCACTGCTCGCCCAACTGCACCTTAAAACGGAACAGAGCTCACATGCCAAGGCGATGCTCCGACGAGCCGTCGAATTATCACAAAACAATGTCTATTGGCATTGTAAGCTGCTACTGCAACTGTCTCAGATCCATGCGAGCGATCGTGAATATTCGCTGGCCAGTGATTTATTGGCTGTGGGCGCCGAATCGGCTGAGGAAGCGGGTGCCACATACCTTAAAGTACTGTTTTTGCTTTCACGGGCCATGATCCTAATGATTGAACGGAAAACGAATGATGTGCTGGCACTGCTCAATTCAGCGGGTCAAATCATCGATAATAATATACCTAATCCACATCAAAAAGAGTATCTGAAAGTGTTCTTCCTAGTGCTGCAAGTGTGTTACTATCTGGCCCTCGGCCAGGTGAAGACAGTAAAGCCCAGTTTAAA